CTATCACAGACTAGGTATGCATACAAATAATATTTACTGACTGAGCAGATTGTACTTAGGAGTATATATGAACACATATGCATATTATACATAGAGTAGCAATGCAAAAAGAGATCATGCATTGAAAGAGCGCAAGAGGTGTATATGGAATGGTTTGGGGGGAGGAGCGGGAAGGGAGAAATGTAATTATATAATAATCTTAAAGATGAAAGAAAGAAAGGAAGAAAGAAAAAAGAAAAGAAAACGGGGTGTGAATGTAGTGCAGTGGTTGAATGTTGGCCCTGAGATCACCTTTGTCACAGCATTTAAAAAATCAAGTCTATTTATTGCTTGATTCAGTTAAATAAAAAAAAAATCTAGAAAATGAAAAACTGTAGTGACAGCATAAGAGTGGTTGCTCGGCCTATGACAGGAAAAGAACAAGTGTAAAAAAAAAAAAATCACAGTAAGCTCTTCGGTCAAGAGAACTACCCTGTCTTTATTGTGATGGTTGTAATATAATCTTCAAAATCAGTAACCAGGCACTTAAGTTTGTGACTTTTATAGTATACAAATAATGCCGTAGTAACTGTTTTTGAAAGAATAGGATCAATGTTAAGTATTTTTCACATTGAATTTTAGCATTTGAGTACCTGGAAGAAAAAGACAGCTTCCAAAGAAATGAGGGATTTTTATACAAAGTATCAAAAGCAGTCTATTACTGCATATAGTTAAATCAGGAAGTCAAAACTCAATGAAGTGACTCTAAGCAAGAAAAAAATATTTAAATTAAAAATAAGAAAATTTAAGAAAATTAAATCAGGTTTAATTTTCTCATTAGGTCAAATAATAACTTCACAAGAAATTTCAATAGAAAACCCTAGGAGCCAGGAAAAGAGCAACAAACTAGGGAGTAAACTTCAAAGCTGGCAGCAATATACATTGGAATTGAAAAATTAATACACACAATATTTCTCTGTGATCTTCAAAAGAAAGAGATTCCAACATTGAGATTTAAAACTATTTGTGGGCTGGGAATATGGCTCAGAAGGTAAAGGCATTTGCCTCACAAGGAGGAAGATGTGAGTTCAAGC